ATAACATAAAAAAGCCCCCCACAAGAAAGAATAATCTAGCCCCAAATGTCAGGAGTGCCGAGTTTGGAAAACGCTGATTTAGAGCATGTGGTTTCAGGGGAGTAGAGAGGGCAAGAGACTCTGATTCAAACCAGTTTAGTTTGCAGAGCTAATATCGTCAAACATTAAAATAGAGATGAAAATGTACTTGAATGATGACTCAGAAGCAAATGTATTTTTAGTCTATGTAAAAATAGACTAATTGTAGTCAATCGTAGTAACAAGTTCTTTTTAGTCTGCATTTGGATAGATTAAGAAAAAGATATAATTATTAATATTTTTGATCCATTTCTTTAAAAAAATGATTGACAGCAAGGGCTTGATAGTGGAGGAAGACTGTATGCTATTACCCTGGGAATCGACTTGAGTTTTCTGACTCCCTTTCAGGTGAAGGAGTATGTCCGATTAATCAGTATCTATGAAAAGAAACTCTCAAACCTCACTGTCCGTATAGAGATCATGGAAAAAGATACCATTTCTTACACTGAATTGGAGTTTGAGCTGATCAAGATAGAAGTGAAGGAGATGGAGAGACTGATCATCCGGCTGAAGGGCACTGTTGTTGGAAGCTCAGAAATCATCGACCAGCTGGAGGTAGAGGTACGGAGTGAACTCGCTTCTCTGTGTATCAGTGATGAACCTTTTCAGCCCCGATTTCTAATCCTGTGCTCTCTCATGACTGCGTGGCATAGCCCGTGTTCTGCTTTCTATGGACACCCATCTTTCAATAGTAAGTTTAGCACTTTGGGAACATGTTGACTGAGGAGCAGGTGTCCACTGATGATCAGCGTTCTGCCCCAGAACCAAATGGCCTTTCGATATCTCTAGAAAGGTGCTGATATAAATCTGAGCAACTCCATGGCCAAGCAGATCAACTGTCTTCTCTGTTCTGGCTTATCCTCATGGAACTAGGAAGCCTGATTTTGGACTTGCTAGGTCTGTTTCTCCTTTCGAATGTTCATGTCATCCTTGATCCCTTTTGGAACTGGTCACCACATATTGACAACCTTTTTTTAAAGGGATGTCTTGTATGTTTTAGTGAAGGTCTTTTAAGCTCTGTGGATAAAGACCATCGGGCTAATGTTTTGGTTGGGTGATTTATGTCAATGAGAATTCACTAGCACAGTCATGACATGGGCTATAGTTGAGAATTCTAGTTATATATTTTAGAATTTAAGTTTTCTTTGGTTCTCACCATTTATGAGAAACTTAATTATGCTACAACACGAGGAAACACGAGTTTATGGGGAAGATTATGAGAAATGAACTTTAATGGACGTTCGTGGATGCAGAGACTGAGCCTGTGCTCTGTTATTAAAACTATTCAAAATCTTGGCCATTTTCTCCTCGTCACACACACCTGCCCTGAGATGTGACAGGCGTTCACGCTAAACCGTAAAATGTATTCTTCCAAATGAAACCATTCAGAAGAATCTGGGGTGGATTCTCTGGCAATGTTTCACTAAGTGACAAATTCAGCTCTGGAATGTTTATGAAAGAAATTGTACAGTAGCGTAAAGTCACTCTGAATTTTATTTCTTTAGATAAGGAATATGACTCTCCTGGTAGAGAAGCTCGAGACACTAGACAAAAACAATGTTCTTATGATTCGCCGGGAAATCGCGGCTCTGAAGAACAAGCTCAAGGAATGTGAAGCCTCTAAAGGTGAAAACGTCCCGGTGGCCTTGGTCGGGCCTCCTCCCTCTCCAGGTGAGTGCGTCCCTCGCCTGACCTTGAACCAGGCCTCTGAGGGGCCAGCGCAGGGTGGAGGAGGGATTCGGGATCGGGATCGCAGAGTCCCAAGGGCGGGATTTTTGCAGTTCTGAGTGACTCTTCCGTGCGTTTGAACCTCCTCCCCTAGTCGCTCTACTTACTGTCACATACTGGGGCTCACAGAGGAAAAACGTGAACAATGAGTCGATCTGAAATGAAATCCTCACGTTACACGTACCCCCTCCGCGTTCACTAACAGGATAAACATCCGCGTGGAGATGCGGTGGCTGCCAGGGGCCTGGCGAAAGCCGCTGGAGCCTGCGCAGCGTCCGTCCGCACTGTCTGGGGACTGTCAGGGCTGATGGGCTCGTTTACGCGATGAGCTGGGGTTATAGCTGGAATCTTCCTCCGCTCCTCTCTCCTAGCCCCGCCCCCCTCCTCCTGCCTCCTTATTTTTCCTTCGTGCTGTTCTTAAGTGCATGTCGAGCACCTGCTGTATGGTGTGTCCTGGGCTTCAGGGAGGGTTTGACCGATGGCCCCACGCGTTTTGTACTGGTGGGTAAGTCCTGGCATCTCCCCTGGACTGAGTTCTTGGAGGGCGTCTCGCTCTCTAATGAATCATCCTCCTGGTCAAGTATAGCCTAGCCGTGAATGCTCCGTAAGTACCCCGTGAACGTGAATGGAGGCAGTGGAGTGTGAGGGTCCGGAGTATGGCTTTGGGACCCCAAAGGCCTGAGCTTCCCAGCTATGTGGCCCCAGCAAAAGGGTCCTTCATCTCCTCACGTGTCAAATGGGAGAATATGGTAGAGCCTCCGTTGCAGGGTTGCTGTGAGGGTTAATGACACAGGCTGGAGAAGCTCGTGGCTCTGTGATTGGCACGTGTATGCTGGCGATGGTTGTTATTATTAATGAGGAGAAGCGAAGTGAAAACCTTGCACGAACAAAGGCAGTGCTAGGTGCCTGTACGCTTCAGCACGTCCCTGCAGGTGACCTAAAGGCATCTTCTTAGCTGCAGCACGTTGCCCTGTCCTTTAGAGACGCTCGTGTCGGAGGGGACCAATCTCCGCAGGTCGTGAACGGGGCGTATCTTCTCATCGGACGGTACAGCTCTCGCTCTTTTCATTAATTCCTATCGTCACAGCCTGTTTCCTTTTAGGCCTTGCCTTTTGGATCCTTGTCAGTGTAGCTGGTGTCTGTGAGGCTTTAGAGGCCGCTGTAGGGTTGTACGGGGACTCTCTGCCTCCCTCTGCTGTTGGGAATCGGTCATAGCATGACATACAGAGGAGATTTAGAACAAAGGCCACGCTCTGTCCTCTGTAACAAGCTGAGGCTAAACTGGGTCTGGGGTCCATGGTGTCAACATGCTTTCGAAGTAAGAGCTCATTCTGCTGGCTCCTTGAGGGAGGAGTTGGAGCAACGACCACCCTTGATAATACCTGAGCGAGACTTTTCTGTTTAACCTCAGCAAATCTTCGCTGTGGGATAGATTTTTCCTGCTCAGTTTTCTATGCATCCCTTAGAATAAGGACATTTTACAGCAGGAAGGAACATTCAAGGCCATCTAGCTCAGGCCCCTCATGTCTCAGAAGAGGGGACATGGGACGGTGATGCTGCTGCTTTTCCTGAGGCCACACAGGTAGTCAGTGACAGCTGAGGCTGAAATGCCAGATGCCTTACCTCCTGGTCATCTCAGGACCTAGAGTGTCAGGTGTCATTACTCAAGGTCATAACTCAAGGTCGGTAGTAGGGGAGAAAACACACTGCCTATGTCTAAGGAGGAAAACAAGTGAGTCTGTTGGGTTATTTTTGCTAGAACTTTCCTTCCCCCAGAACTTTCCCCTGGGCCCTCACACTTACACTTCGTCAGCCAGCCCAGCTGTGTTGTTTAAGCAAATTGGACCCAGCTTTCCTCGCACTTTCCTACAGCTTGGGCTGTACCTGGACCTCAGCCAAGCCGCTTGGCCCTCCTCCAGCTTTGTTCATATTATATTTATGAGGTTTGTATTAAACCGACTTTTTGTCATGTTTTTAAATCAATTTCTTTCACTTGCTCTCTTTCTGTTTGGGTTGGTGGACGATGCAGAATTGGAAAATCCCCGGGCACCAACAAGCTGTGAGCCTGCGGAGACTTTAATTAAAGTTACTCACTGTTCTTGGGACTTTAAAATCTGGCCTCTCTGCTTGTCCGACTGCAGAGTCGCACAGAACAAAAAAGACCATATGCAAGTCTCAGCTATGAAGAAATCCTGTGCTCTCACCCCCCGCCCTTCCCCCGCCCCTCACCCCTTGCAGCTGTGGTTTGCTACCCCTGTGGTCAGCTCGATCTCAGAATCAGGACATGTAGTGAGGGTTCAATAAAATGCACTTTACATTTGGTTTATGCTGAAAATGGCATCTTTTTCTGCTTCGTTTCATAGAACTTTCTAATCTAAAATAATTGGCCTTCTGCTCATTAACTTTTTCCCCTGAAAACAACTGGCTCTGTTTCTCTCCATTTTCCCTCTGATTCTAGATGACTGCATAGGCAAAATGTGGTGGCGTGCTCGGGGGTCGCTCGCCACCGTGCTTGGAGACGCCGGGCTCTGTGCTGACACATATAGGTGCTCCGTAAATGGTTGGTGATTGACCAGGGTATAAAGGATTTGGAGTGACCTGCCAAAATCCCAAGCCTAGGGAAGAGCAGAGTGTTGGGTAGCATATATTCAATAATTCAAAGTCAATTTAGCTTTAATTATTTTGTGATTATGACCACTTTAATTGCCTAATTCTCACAAGTCAATCATATTCTTCTCTTGGATCCAATAAAGTTCACTTGCCCAGGTAGGAGAGCATATTAATAGATCTAAGATTGTTTCCTCTGCAGACATCTAATCTTTGGCTTTAGAAAAATGCTAACCATGATACTTTTAAAAAGCCAAGTTACAGTATTTTAAAGTCTCATCATGTGGCTTCTCAGGATAGTTTCAGAATCCCGTGGCAATATCTAATAAATTGCATGGTGGAGAGATTGCCAACCAAAGCTACTCCTGTAGAAGGTTCCTTGCCTTATGTTTTGTGAAGTAAACACCAGGGTCTTTAAAAAATTCAGGTGTGTAGCAGGGTAGAGGACTAGTGTTTTATAGATAAGAGTAGGTAAGCCGGGTTTGCGAGATTCGATTAGTCTTCTATTCCTTTATTTCACAAACACCGAATCTGTCTGGTAATATCGTCACTGTACCAGCCTGCCTTCCACGGATGCTCTAATAGAAAGGCGCACCTGTGATTCCTGGAGTGACAAGACAGTCCCAACAACTCACCAGCCTGATGAACGCCAAGTTATCTTTGCTTCTTTGCTTGTGCAGGAGCTAAAGGCATGCTTCTGCCCTTCGTTTTATACTGTGTTCTCTTCCACCGGAAAATGCAAAATGAGTCATTGGTTCTTCGCCAATTCTTGCATCATGGCTGGGCAAGGGGTTGCTCTGCCAGTGAGTGGCAGCCCAATAAGGGAATGAGATGGGAAAGATGGAGATGGAGAATCTCTAAGACCTTCAAATGAACGAAGGGGCTGGAAAGGGGTGAGAGATACAGGAGGGTGGGGAGAAGCTTAGGTTACATGGGTAGGTGGCGGGGGTTGGGGACTCTGGCAGTGGACGCTGGCTGTCAGCTTCAGTTTCCAAGACTGTTTGCTGCCAGGTATCAGGGAAGCCTGCCACAGCTTTTCACTGGTCTGTCACTGCCATAGCCATGTCTGTAGCACTGGCAACGATGCCTAGTTCTCTTCTCTATGTCCACTTCCTTTTCACCGGAGCCGGCATCCTAGAAATGGCCTGTCAGAGAAAGATGAGAAAGGCAACGTAACCAAAAGAATAGGAGAGTATTTAGGAAGGTGGGGGAAAGAGATTTAAATTCACACATTTTGAATATTTATGTCAGGTGTAATTTGAATTTCCTGGCCAACACGTAAAATGATGAGCCATGACGACTATTATCAGTAGTAGTATTAGTAGTAGTAATTTTTAAGAGAGGATTATTTTGATTCCTAAGGATTTCCACATCTAGGACAGAATAGTTTATTGTCTTTCACCCCGTGATAATTTCTGAATTAGTTACACATAGCATAACTTTCCCTTAAATACTTTGTTGCTATTGGTTTGGGATAGTTCCTTTCCAGGAATGCAAGATTCAGTTAAGCAAATAATTCCTAAGTCCTCTATCCTGCAAGAAAAAAGTGACTTTCTTCCATTTCCTCAGAGTGAAATGTAGTTGAATAAATAAGTTCTCCGGGAGATATTTTAACTAGAAAACCCAGTTTGTAGCATATGGAAACTCGAACAGTTTTTGTTATCATTAAACCGAACACACCGCTAACTTTATTTTAATAATTCATGCATTGTTTCACAAACAAAAGCAAACAAGCATTCATCTGAGAGATCACTTTTAGGAGAAGAAATAATAATTTATAATTTTATTTATTATTTCTTTAGTGGAGAACAGTCTCTTGGCTGAATACACGCTGCTTTTTTTATTTATGAAATGGCGCATGCATTATTAAAATAAACCTGTGACTGTGTTCTGCTTAATGATATGCAAAATTATTTGAAGTTGGGTACAGAGTGGTTTTATTTCTCTACCTGTTGTACGGTTGGCTGGCTTTCCCACCAACTGCGGATTTATGAGAGCATTTAAGGAGCACGTATTTAATTCTGGGACCAAAAAGCCCCGGTAGATTGGAAAAATAAAAGCAGAATGTCTAGTAATGGTTTCACTTCTGAGCAGTCCTTGCATGAGGTGGGGCGAGGAAGAGACATAGAGCAAGGAAAGGAATAGGTAGATCTTTCCGTCTTGGTCAGAAGTGGAGACTCAGAGGCAACAGCTTAGCCTCTGAGCTTAGCGCCCCCGCCTCCCCCAAATGCTAACTTCAGGTAGTTGTTTGGAGCTCTGCTTTTGGCTCCTGCTCACTTCATGTGCTCGCCACGTGCGCACCATGGCTCCCTGAGTCCCTCCAAGCCTTTAGAGCGTGACTCAGCGATTGGGGTTCCGCTCTCTCCTTCCCTCGCCTGCTCTGCTTCAGGCAGCAGGATGAGGGACAACGACCTCGAACGTACTTGAAGTTGGATACATTTTCGTTATTCAATAAATGATCTCACCCCTTCTTTAAGGGTATTCATTAAGATCCCAGGAAATATGTGTTCGACTCTTTGGATAGTTATTATAAAAATACTGGAAGAATTTTATTTTATATTTTATGGCAGGCATTTCAGAGGGAGTGCAATGCGAAGGGCCAGTTGCCCAGGCCGAGTCATTCACCCAAGTGTTACGGGGGATGTAGATGCAGCGGACCATGATGAGTCTGGTCCCACTTGATTGCACACATTGTGACAGACCTAGCATCAGTATGGAGACGACAGGGTACTTGCCTGTCATTCTATGGTGCAGTAGAATACGAGTTATAAACAGCAAGATGATCACTAAGGGACCTAAGTGATGGGCTGTGCTTTGGGCACAGAGAGGCAATGTTGCCTCCACATGACTCCCATGGCTTCTCGAGGTTGAAATCCCACCATGATAAGCCTATGCTTCTATCTCTTTAAAACATCGTACGTAAAATTTTCTCTCCTGAGATTAGCTGGGGGCAGCGTTGGCGCCTGGTGTGGGTCCCGGGAAAGGGCAGCAGAGCGAAGGGTAAGGGGGCTTCCCCAGGACAGTCTTCTCCTTCATCACAGTTCCCCCCGAGCCTGACGAGTGGCGCCTCCTGACTTTATGGGAATAGGGTACGGTTCTGGACTGATCTGGCTCTTTTGATTTCTCTAAGAAAAATGAAATAGAATATTTGCAAAATGCTTTCTGGTAGAAGAAAATATATTGGATTTTATCAGGTCCCCCCGCCGTCTCTGGGCCCTCAAACCTTTTTAATGTGTCTCTCGGCAGTTTCCCTGTCCCCACTTTCTAGATTGAAAGCCCATCCACGGAAATAAAAGGTCGTTTTTTTCTAGAGCCGACCAGCGGGTTTGCATTGAGACTGAAACCAAGAGAAAATGTCACCTCTTCTCCCTCAGAACCACTGCTGTCCTTGAATCTTGCCGAGAAAAAAATATTTATGGATTTCTTTGGTTCTTAGTGTTACCAGTGGGGCGGAAGGCAGTTGGTGTCACCCCAACAGCAGTGGGGGGGAGAGGGGTAACGATGGGGCTGAAGTGTAGTTAGCATTCTTCTTCGGTTCTTCCTCAATGACGCAGTGAAGAATCACAGGTCAGTGAGATTTAGAAAAGACTTTTTAAAACTATTATTTTAGAAAGACAAAGCGCGCCCCAAGGAGACACAGGGTCCCAACGCTGTAACTACAATAACCAATGCAAAGGGGCCCTAAAAAGAGGACCCAGAAGTGGGAATGTCTGCCTTATATGACGGGGGCGATGGGTGGTTCCAAAGGTGTTCTTAGGTGATTGGCAAGTGAGGTCATTTTGATTGACACCTGGCTGCTATATAACTCTGCCTACTACGCATGTGCTTACCCAGAATTCTAGTACCATTGGGGTGTTCTTTGGGCGGTCTCTAGGCGGGACCCCTATCCCTTCGTTCCCCTTGTTGCTCATGTCTGACTAGCTACCCAATCTTTGGATATTAAATGGTTTGTATCTCGTCATTCATTTTCTCTAAGAAGGCCCGTTTGTATTCTCGTTTGTCCAGGGAACTGTGCTCACGGCGGAGTGGTGAACATCAGCCAACCTTCCATAGTTCAGCTCAACTGGAGAGGGTTCGCCTACAAGTACGGTGCCTGGGGGCGGGATTACTCTCCCCAGAATCCAGACAAAGGGCTGTATTGGGTGGCGCCTTTGAATACAGATGGGAGACTCTTGGAACATTACAGGCTCTACAATACACTGGATGATCTGCTATTGTACACAAATGCTCGGGAGTACCGGATTACTTACGGCCAAGGCAGTGGGACCGTGGTTTACAAAAACAACATGTATGTCAACTGGTACAACACCGGCAACCTTGCCAAAATTAACCTGACCACCAACACGGTGGCTGTGACTCAAGCGCTCCCTGCTGCCGCCTATAATAACCGCTTTTCATATGCTAATGTGGGTTGGCAAGATATTGACTTGGCTGTAGATGAGAGTGGGTTGTGGGTGATTTATGCAACTGAGGCCAGCACTGGTAACATGGTGATCAGCAAACTCAACGACACCACGCTTGAGGTGCTGAACACGTGGCATACCAAGCAGTATAAACCCTCTGTTTCTAATGCCTTCGTGGTATGCGGGGTTCTGTATGCCACCCGTACGCTGAACACCAGAACAGAAGAGATTTTCTATTACTATGATACCAACACAGGAAGAGAGGGCAGGCTGGACATCGTAATGCATAAGATGCAGGAAAGGGTACAGAGCATTAACTACCATCCTTTCGACCAGAAACTTTTTGTCTATAACGATGGTTACCTTCTGAATTATGATCTGATCTTTGAGCAGGAACTTCTTTAGGTGTTAGGGTGAGACAGAAATAAAATGTCTGTTGAAAAAATGGTCCTCTCCACTTATTTAGATACCTGCAGGGGGATCCGGGAGCTTATTTGCTTCGCGCTAATATTTGGGAGCACAGTTCTGTTGCACTAGGGACTTAAGATATTTGTGCTGATTTGATGAGTTCTCTTGGAAGCCATCTGCCTTCTGGGATGCATTTCCCTACTGAAATCAGATCCTTTCAGGGTGAGAGTGTGAGGGGTCTAGGGACATCATGGGTTCAAGGAAGCCTTCGGTGTGGTGACATCTGGGAATTAATTAATTGAAAGAGAGCTCTGTGTGGCTTCTGGGTTTCTTTGTGCGGGAGAGAGGGCTCGGTGAGCAGGCTGCTCTACGTAGCCCAGCCAACTCCTCCATACCCGAGGGAAACCTGGGGCTAAATTAGGCAAGTTAATACCTGAAGCTCCTTCACGGGCCAAATTTCCAACTTTGTTTTTCTTGCTAGCAATCGGAATGGTGTTTTGTATACAGCAAGCAGATAAGTAAATTTAGCATACTTCTGTTATATTTGTAAAATGCTCTGCATTTTCTGGAGAAAGGCGCTTTTATACTTTAAATTGTATGCTGCAGATCAATCCCAGAGGGGTCTGCCGACGAGGCACTGGATTACTCTTTTCTCCCACGGTCTACCGACGTAAGAGTCGGTCGAGCTCTCCTGTCTCATAAATTCGCTCCAGAGGCGGCTCGGAAGGTTAGAAGCAGACTTAGCAACCAGTTCCTCTCACTTTCTCCCTACCTCCTCCTTAAAAAAAAATTAGCCATATTTTTTAAATGAAACAATGATAAGAGAAACAGAATTACTTTTTTTTTTTAATCTCATCGTGAACTTTTAGTTTTATGACTCTACGACGGTAAAAAAACTGGATGACAACTGGATGATCAAGCGATAGCATTTCTGGTTCTATAAGAGAGGCCTTGGAGCATATGTAAGAATCATGTGAAGTTGTATCGATTGTTTCATGCAATTTTTGTCTTTGTTTAGGCCTGAAACTTGTAAGAAAATAAAAAAAATTTTTTTATGAGCAAGAAATGTAGAAAATTCGCTGAAAGTGTGCAGGTATTCCGTAGGTATGTGGGCATCTGCGTTTCGGAGGCTTTGTCATCTGAGTTTGGTCTGTTTTTCTTTAATGTCCGTGAGTCCGGGCCCATAGGGTTAGCTCCTTCGATGTTGTACTTTTTCCCTTTTAATAAAACATTAAAACATGCTTTAAGAAAGTTGTCTTTTGTTTTATTTACTCTTTTTTTTTTTTTAAGAACTCTTAATAGAATAACTCATACCTTGCTATGAGGTACAGAGAATGGCCACTTCCCAAATGACAATGGCCAGTACATTATATACCTAATAGCGGGTCACATTCATAGCTTTTAAAGGAGGCCAAAATCAGGCTGGCTTTTTCATTTCCCATTACCGTCCAGTCTTTCTGGCAGCTTTTGTTGTATGAGGCTGCACTATTTTCTTTTGGGATGTGACCTTATGTACTTATTAATTTGCATGACTGATCTGATTTCCCATGTTAGACTATATTTGTGTGGCTTGTGTTCCCTTTCCAAATGCGCTGTTAACACGGGTCAGAAGCCTCTAGACCGTCCCCAAACAGGAAGTCTTGCACCGAAAGCCAAGGGGCTAACGGGCCGTGCTGGACAGAGATAAATGCCTTTGCCGAAGTTAATGTGTAGGGTAAGGGGTGACCTAGGACTGCAAGGACCATGTGTAGGGGGAAGGGTGACCTAGGACTGCAAGGACCGACAGACTACGCTGTTGGGGTTAGTCTTACCGAAATCCCATTTTAATCCACACCAAGCCTTTAGAGGAAGGCAGTAGCTACAATATTTAGTATTTTTAGCAAGATTTTCCTCTTTCAAAGCCGTGCACAGAGACAGGTACGGCCTTCAAAATGCAACCAGATTCGAAGATAAAGACAGGTATGTCATGCGAGATATAAGTTAAAAACAGTGATGTTATATTTAATCTGGCTCTAGGCAATTTTCCAGGTGAGTGTTTCTATTGAATGCACAGTATGACCTCCGAAGATTCGGGAAAGGAGGCAGGAAGCCGAGGGAGCCCTCGCGATCAGCTCGTGTTAAGTGCTAGAGAAGCGTTTGCCTGGAAATTCCCTTCGGACGTCTTCCCACGGGATGTGGATCAGGCAGCTGCCGCCGGCGGCACGTCTCCCCACTGGAGAGGGTTTAGGTTCAAGGTTTTACTGTGGTGCAGGCACACAGCACACGTTTTAGCTCAAGATTCACCAGCTTGCTTTCTTCTGGGAGGAAAAAAATTGTGTCTATATATTTAAATCAGCTTTCTGGAGATGTAATTTACATATGGTAAATTCTGCCAGTTTTAAACATAAAATTAAATGGGTTTGGACAAATGTACACAGTTGTGTAAGGGCTACCGTAGTTAGCATAGGAAACGTTTTTATTATCTCTCAGAAAGTTTTCTCGTGCCCTTTTGCAGTCAACTCCTATTTCCATCTCCTGCCTCCTGGCCATCACTGATCTGTTTCCTCCTTCCGCGGAATTATATAATATGTAGCCTCTAGAGTGTGGCCTTTTCTGGTTTCTTCTTGAAAAACAGAACCTGTGGGCTCACATTAGCCCAGAGGGTGACTGAGCTTTGCCGGTGGCTCTCAGAGTTCCCTACATTTTTATTATGTGGGGGGAGGCTGAGGATCGTGGAGAGCTGTGGTGACCTACTTGCCTTTTAAGTGTTTCCTAGTGGCCCAGAATTCCCATCGGAGGGGGCCAGCTGTGGGCATCGATCAAGCACTACCTGGCAGCGCTTCCAACACTTGCGAGTCCCCCCGCCCCACTAGCTTCATTCGATGTCTGTTCTCCAGTCTCTACTGTGCCACAATCATCTCTGCCTAGGTGGGTCCTGATACTAACAAATGATGCTTAGTGTTTTAGAGCACAGGCTTCGAAGTCAAGCCAAACTGGATTTGACTCTTGTTTCCACAGCTTTCAAACGGTGTGGCTTTGGGTAAGTTCTTTAATTTTTTTGAGACTCAGTGTCGTTTTTTTTGTGTGTGTGTGTGTGTAAGGGGATAAAACCACCCACCCAGACTCCTGTTGGGTAGGTTAAGTGATATTAAGAGTGTAAAGTATTTAATACGGTCTTTGGCACACGCTCCGCCCTCAATGAGGAGTTATTATCTCTATTTCTCATTTCGAACTTTAGGCTCAGATTGATCCTGGGGCTGACAAGATGTAGAGCTAGCTGAGATCAGGGTTTGCTTTTCCTTCCCTTTAAGACTTGTTGCCACGAGCGACTCTCTGAAAAGGTGCCCTTGTGGTATGAGAGAAGCTGGAACACCCTCTCTTTGTCCTCAACTCCAAGATCGATCCTCAGAACCTGCCTTTCCATGTCGTGACTCCGAGAGACAGAGCGACATGAACAGCAGACACTGAGGCTGATTTTCCTTTCCTCCGAGCCACGAAAAACCCAGATGAAGGCCAGCGTTCATCCGCTTTCGGTCCCCATGAGAAGGACTGAAAACAGGGGCACAAGTCCTCCCACTTACTGTGTGGTATTGTGGAGGGAATGTTGGTCTTCCGAGAGCAGGTGTGGGTATTTACGCTGTGCTCCGTTTGGAGTAAAACCTGTCTATCTTTCAGGGCTAGTTTGCATTGCTGGCCACAGGAGTTTGTCTTCCTCCCTCGGTTTATGAACCACCAAAAGGGAAACGACAACGGGTGGACGGAAGGTGACCATGTGTCCACCTTCAGGATGATGTAGGGAGGTTCTGGGCCTGAGCCTTCGAGTCATCTCAAACAGATGTCTCACCATGAAGCATGATTAACCCCCCTGTGCTCCAGAATGTTCTGGAACAACAGAAGGGTGAATTGTGACACATCAGAAAATGAAAGGCAGGCACGCTCCTCAGGCACGCTCCCAGCCAGCGGAACCGACCAGCTGGCCTGGCTCATCCACGAGAGACGCCATTCGAGTTATCAGTTCAGTTGCCAGGCCTCACATCTGTAGCTCGGGATGTGCCCACTTGTCTTTGAGATCTGCATCTGCTCCTGGAGCTCATTCAAAGCCACGGCCCTTGGAATCGAGGTCTGCGGCGGGGGAGGACGGCTTTCAATCTGCCTGGAGGGGAGGCTGTCTCTTGGATGCCGCCCCTGGGCACCTTGGAAACTCCGAGCGTGGTTCCCAGACCTCAGCCCTTCTGTGGAGCTCAGTGTACGTGGAGGATGAGGGGGAGCGATGGACGGGGGCCGGGGTTTATAGGGCATCAGAGGAATTCGGTCTTTGAGCCTCCATACAAGAAATGCGTGTGGACTCCAAGTCCTTCCAATGTCCTCTCTTCCTAGCTAGACTGTGCCAGCTCATGTGTTGTTTTGGGTTGTGGCCTATTATGTTTTCATATCAGCATTGCTGGTGACATACTCTGACTTTCGCCTCGGTGGCTGACGTCAGGCAGAGTTCAGTGCAGGAACAACTTCTTTTGACTGCGGCGCCGTAACTGCCACATCGGACGATCTCACTGTCCCAGTGACTTAACGAACAGCAGCTTTTTTCCTCCTTCACATCGGCAACCTCCGCTTTTACCATTTTGTCCTCGGTTGTTGCTCCCGTAACATCTTCCTCATCCCCAGCACCGTTTCCCCGCCTCACATGCCACTGTGGTCTTGTCTGGTGCCACGCTGATGGCGGAGAGCTCCTCTTCCAATGTGACGCCCTTCCAAACAGCGATTCGGGGGCCGGGCTCATTCTAGTTCATCTTGGGGCTCCACCATGACCACACGCAGCTCCCAAGGTCACTGTGCTCATCTGAATCAGACAAGCAGAAGGGAGAAGAGCCCGGAGGGCCTCTGGTGGAGGTTGGTAAGCTCAGGGCTAAAGGGGCGTCCAACACTCCCACACAATCCATTAACACGGGGTCACGCCGAAGTGCTGAAGAGGCTGGAAACGTACTTTAGCTGGGTACGCGGGAGGAAATCGATGGGATGGTAAGCTATCAGCCGGTCTGCCTCACCCCGCTAGGAGAGAAGATTTAATACAGAGAATTAGGTGCTTACGAAATCGCTGGAAAGCCTGGAGTGACAGCTACCAGTGACTGAGAAATCAAAAAACTATGTCTGTCACTACCCCTGGTGTCGTCCCCACGCCATCCAAACTGGTACCAAGATGTTGGAACGGGGGGTCCATCTTCTGCCAACACGCACCTCCGCTGGTGCCCACTCATCCACCTGCACACCTGGAAAGCCCTCCACCGTCCGGGGGCTGTGTCGTCAGCATAAGTGGATCCCATTGGCTGAACCGAGAATGAACCCAGAACTGTGTCTGCACCGGAGACTGAGAAGCGTGGTTTTCATCTTCCCTGCCCTGTGATACAAAGAAGGTGATGGGAGCCATTGAAAACCGATGCCAGTGTCAATAGACGGCATCTGGCACAGAACATCTGGCACAGAACATCTGGCACAGAGCATCTGGCACACAACCTCAGCCGGCGACCACTGCTTTGACCCTCACTGTGGCCCATCTTGTCTCTGGCGACTGCTTCTTTTAGCACCTCTTCCATCCCTTGGTCATTCATCACTAGTTCTCTGGCGACTGCTTCTTTTAGCACCTCTTCCATCCCCTGGTCACTTGTCACTAGTTCATTTTTTGTTTTGTTTTGTTTGTTTGTTTGTTTCATGTTCACACTCATTGGTGGCTTTGCCTGACGCCACCGTAGTAGGGGACGGGTCCTCTATCAACAGTGATCACGCTGAATGAACTTTCGAAGAGGTGCTGGCTTTTA